GATCAAATTTAAAATGATCCAGGTCTGTGCCATCTTGCTGGGCACTTGGGCAGCCGACAGGTTCCACGTCCCACGGCTCTCACCCCTTGTTTCATGCGGCTCTCTGCACCAGCTTCCTACGCCTTTATGTGGCAGGTCCCTGATGTTCCTGGCGACGCTCCAACTCCACTTCCCTTTACCTTACAATCTGCCCAGTGCTGTTTCCCTTTCCCCCAGCCCTTCTGCTCTGTTTGTATGTCAGAGGCTGGTCCCTGCTGCTCTCTCCCCGTGATCCCAGTTTTTACTGAGGAAATCCTCTTTCGGTTTTGATGGCAGTTTGGGGAGATCCGAGCAGGGGAGAGCAAACTCTTGTCAATGACAAAAGCACGCGAGGTGGACTGCCGGGGGAGGGGGAGAGAGCTGCTCTTTGAAGAACCTAATGAGTTTTGTAAGGGTCTTTACTTCATTTCCTTGGACACTGCCAGGGACAGAGCTTGGGGAATGGAATAGAATTAGCACAGGGAAAATTGAAGCTGAATAGAAAGAAAACTCCCTGAAGGATCTATCTATCTATCCGTCTGTCCATCCAGACATGCCCATCTCTCTCTCTCTGTCCCTATACATGCCTGTCTATCCATCTATCTGTCTGTCTGTCCCCATACACATCTATCTATCTATCTATCTATCTATCCCCATACACCCCTCTATCTATCTGTCTGTCTGTCCCCATACACCCCTCTATCTATCTATCTATCTATCTATCCCCATACACCCCATGCCTGTCTATCCATCTATCTGTCTGTCTGTCCCCATACACATCTATCTATCTATCTATCTATCTATCTATCTATCTATCTATCTATCTATCTATCTATCTATCTATCTATCTATCTATCATGCCTGTCACCTTAATATCTGGCCTAAGGAATAGCATCCCTTTGGTAGGGATGGAAACTCTTGTTTCTTTGGGCCATCCATTCCCTCTCCAGTAGGACACTGCCCCTCTCCCTGTAAGTGCCTTGGCAGGAAGATGCCCCCACGAGGCCCGGAGGGTGTTGCCGTCTCTCACTTCCACGAGTCTCACTTTTCTGGCCCTGCCGGTGAGGAGCCAGGGTTTTCTCCTGTTCCTTGGCTGAACGGAAAGCAGACATGGCCTCTTCCTCTTGTATTGGTCCCTGGAAATCCTGGCTCCTGGGGAACAGCTGACACCTGTAGGGTCCCAGAGTTTATGTGGAACCGGAGCCAGCTGCACCATCGCCCGAGCCTTGGAGCCAACAGCTCACTTTGGGAACCAGAGCTTGCTGCTGGAGGTTACTCACGGGTAGCTGAGCCCTGTGCGGGCTGCACTTCAGAAGGTGGGGCCAAGGCAGCTGACACCCCCTCCCCAGGCCTTGGGAGAAGGGGAGTGCTTAGCACACCTACATGCAAGCTGCGGTGAGCCAGGCAGGAGTCAGTTCCCAGGCCCGTGGCTACTTGCTCTCAGGCTGGAAACACTTCAGCGCTGGGCGGCCGGGCGAGCTCCGGCTCTCCTCTGCAGGTGCAGCCAGTTCCGCAAGAGGCTCCCTTCCCTGGAGGACAGGAGGGTCAGCGCATGCTGCCAGGCGGGTCGGATGCGCCGCGTCCGCCCCTTCCTCGAATCCTGGCCTGGAACTAGGACGCTCTTGGCCCACTTAGGCTCCGGCGCCCCGTGCTCCTCATGCTGCAGGGGGCTGCTGTTTGGACCAAATCGGCCCCTTGGCAAGGGGGTGCGGCGTTGAGAGCTTCGCAGCCCAGACGTGCTGCACCCATCCTGCGGGGGCACCTGCCGGTCCCTTCCTGTCACAGGCGGCCACGCTGCCGGGACGGGTGCACTGCCTGGCAGACTCTGGTTTCCCTACCCACCACGGGGATGTTTTCCACATGGCTCTGCCTTCGCTGGGTCTCCAGGCCACGAGGTGTGTGGTGTCCCCTGTGCGAGGAGCTCCCCCGCTGCACACACCCAGTGTCTTCCAGGGCCGATTAGCATCAGGGCAAGCCTGGCTGCCCAGCGCCTGCTCCCGGAGTGACTGGCAGGGGGGGGGGGGCGTGTGGTGCCTGGCTCCAGGAGAGACCCAGACTGGTATTCAGGCCTCACTGTCGTGCTGCTGGGGTCAGCGGTAGGGATGTTAAACTCTTCCCTCCCGGCCTGCGCTGGCTCCCAGCCCCGCTCCTGAGGAGCCGGCTGCCCCCCTGCGCTGCGGCACCTGCAGAGGCTTACGCCACCGAGCCTGAGGCACGGAGCAGCAGCCGGCTCCCTGGTAGCGGGGCCAGGTGCCGAAGCCAGTGCATGCTGGGAGCCAGCCCGCCACACAGGGCAGCACAGCGGGTCTCCGGCCCTGGCCCTGCACAGCACGGTGCAACCTTGGTCCCGGCCGCCGGAACACGCCAGCACAACTGCAGCCCCAGCCGTGTGGGCCGGCCTGGCGGGACTTCAGCCATGTGGGGCAGGCAGGTGGGGGCCCTGGCCATGCCCTGACCCTGACCAGTCCGACTGGGCCTGGGTGGGCTGACAGGACCCTCTAGCTGTGCCAAAGCAACCTAGGCTGAGCAGGCAGCTAAACATTACAATGGTAGTAGTTTAACCGGTTAACTAATTAAACAATTATTTGCATCCCTAGTGAGCGGGTGAAGTGGCAGTGCTGGATTGGTTTGGTTAGGACCCTTTCTGAGCTCAGGGGTGATGGCAGGGTAAGCAGCAAGAGGGTAGCAAGCACCACAGGCATTAACCAAAATGCTGGGGGGAGCGTGTGTCTGAGTGAGGACACGTGTGTGTGAATGAACACCCGTGCGCACCTGTGTGTGAGGGCGTGTATGTGTGCCCGTGGGTCAGGGAGATGCATGTGCGTGTATGTTTGAGCAAGGGAATGCGTGTGCACCCAGGAGTGAGGATGTGTAAGTGTGCATGCGTGTGAGAGAGGAAGAGTGCGTGCCTGCATGTGCACATGGGTGCGTGAGACCGGAATTGTGGAAGTGCACGTGTGTGTGAAAAGGGACACACATGAGGGATGGTACATGTAGGCATAGATGTGCATCTGAGGACATGCGTGAGAATGCGTTTGCCCGTGGTGTGTACGGGTGTGAACATGTGCAAGGACGTGCATGCACTTGTGCAAGGGGACACTTTGAATGTGTCGTGTGTGTACGTGTGGGGGGGGGCCTGTGAGGAGCGCTCACTGGGGCCTCTCTGGGCCATTAGAGGAGGAGGAGCGCAGAGGCCTGGCTGCTTCTGGCCTTGACTCTGATAGCAGCAGTATTGATGCCATTACACTTAGCCCCGATGGCTTTAAATGACCGTGTGCACTGACCATGAAGATGCTCTGTCTCCATTTCTCCTGCCATCCCTCTCTCTGCCTCCTGCCCTTCCATTCCTCTCCTGCGCTCTTGCTTGTCCTTCTCCTTACGCCCCTTTCCCTCTTCCCACCCCGGCTCGCCTGCCCTCTCTCACGCTCTGCGCTTCAGCCTCCTCCAGAAAGGAGTGAGCAGAACCGGCTTTTCCAGTTCTCAGCGCCTTGCTCTTCCAATACTTTTCTAATATAAATACCAGCTGCATAATTATCACAGCCTTATCTCTAAACACACAGATGAGAAGAAAGCGCAACAGCAGCCCAAGACAAATTTCAATGTTGATCTTGTGAGAGACTTTCTTTCCCTCTCTGGAGAGGGAGAAATCTCCTGGGACAGAAGAATAACCATTACCAATACCCTTTCATGTCTACGTTACAGAGCCTGTGTGCAGGAATGGCATGATTTGCCTCTAAAATGCAGCCACCTCTGGGGTGGACCAAGGCAGCCATTTACCAGCTGACAGTAAGGGTACGTCTAAACTACGTGGCTCCGTCGACGGAGCCATGTAGATTTGTTTGTTCGGCAAAGGGAAATGAAGCCGCGATTTAAATAATCGCGGCTTCATTTAAATTTACAGGGCTGCCGCGCTGAGCCGACAAACAGCTGATCAGCTGTTTGTCAGCTCAGCGCGCTAGTCTGGACGCTCCCCAGTTGAAATGAAAGCCTTTTGTCGACATCTCTGGTAAACCTCATCGTACGAGGCATAACGGGGAGGTCGATAAAGGGCTTTCAGGTCGGCGCGCCGACAAACAGCTGATCAGCTGTTTGTCGGCTCAGCGCGGCAGCCATGTAAATTTAAATGAAGCCGCGATTATTTAAATTGCGGCTTCATTTCCCTTTGCCGATCAGCCTAATCTACATGGCTCCATCGATGGCACCATGTAGTTTAGACACAGCCTAACAATGCACAGCAGGAAAGGAAAAGGCAGGAAGTGAGAAATAGCGTATCTGGCAGGATCAGCCCGCATGCCTGCGTATTCTCATAACCCTATTCTTCAGATTTGCTCTGAAAATCACAGCCTGGGCCTGAGTAGCTCAATGGAAGCGTCTAATGGGAGTCGGAATGGGCCGTTACTCGGCACGCGCTTGTTTCCTGCTGCGTGTGTGGACGTGTGCAGAGCAGCGCTGTACAGTTGCAGGAATTACTGTAGGAGTGTGTGTCCCAGGTGTAAAAGCAGCCGCTGTTTGTCCATCCCCAGGCCGTTGGGATGGTCATGGGCACCACAGGGACCTTTGGGCGCTAGACCTGTGTGGCTGAGGGGTGAAGGGAGCAGCAGACTCCCTGGTCAGCATGGCTGCGGGAGATCAGCCCTTATCGAGCGGCTGTTACGGATGGGGGTGGCTGTTTGTTCTGCAGTAGCATGGAGCTGGCTCCTCCACCTGCAGGCTGCTGCAGAAGATGCTGTCCTGGAGCCCAGCCGGCCCTGGTGCAGGTGGGCGTGGCTGCAGTGAGCACCGGGGCCTGACATTGTGCTGGATCGGGCCCAGAGCGTGGGCTCCGTGGCGTGTGCTAGGGATGGACCCTGGCCTGCTACTCACCAGAGTCAGTTGCAGTGTGCGGGTTCCAGAGATCAGGGGAGGAAGGACTCCAGGGTCCCACAGATCCTCCCTCTTCCCTTCTCAGTCTCACCCACCTCCTCCCTGCTCTGTTGTTGCAGGGCTGCGGGCTCAGACCGTCCTGGTCAATGACACGGTCTCGGGGTTCATCGGGACGGATGTGGTCCTTCACTGCAGCTTCACCAACCCGCGCTCCGAAGTGAAGATCACGCAGGTCACGTGGCAGAAGGCCACCAATGGCTCCAAGCAGAACGTGGCCATCTTCAACCCCGCCATGGGGGTCTCCATCCTCTCCCCTTACAAAGAGCGCGTGGCCTTCCGAAACCCCTCCATTAAGGATGGCACCATCCAGCTGTCCCGGCTGGAGCTGGAGGACGAGGGCGTGTACATCTGCGAATTCGCCACCTTCCCTACCGGCAACCGGGAGAGCCAGCTGAACCTCACCGTGCTGGGTAAGACACGGCCGTCACCTGGGGCTGTCTGCATCACCCACCGAGCATCCTCTGGACCCGGGACCTAGAATTCCCTGAGGCTCTGGGCTGGGGGAATCCCTTTGGTTTCAATTGCACCACAAGGCTTTTTCTCCATGATCTGACATTGCCGGGGGCATGGGGAGGCTGAACGACGCTGCCAAATGGCTCAGACGAGACGCTAGAGCGATACAAGGCATCCGCAGGGTTCTCCCTGGAGCTCTCTTCGCCTGGGTTTGTGGGTGGAGAGAGCTTGGCCCAGGATTCCCCCCCAGGACTCTTGGGAGAGTGCCCGCTGCCGTGGCGTCTCTGCCGGGCATGCTCCCAGGCGGCGGGGCTAGATCCGGTGGGCGCTAGGACCCAGGGAGAAGGCCAGGCACTGTGCACACTGACACAGAACACCCGGCGCCGGACGCAGCCGGGGGAGCTGGCACCGGCTGATAAAGCTGGCACCGGCTGGGGCCGGGGGGGGTGGAACAATCTGCCGGACAGGAAGGGCCAGCGCACGATGTATCTGCATATTCGTCATCTGCTTAATGAATATGCAAATATGCAAATCAATGTTACCAGTCCTCCAAAAACTTGTGAATGAGTTTACTGGTCCTCAGTATCAAAAAGATTGGGAACCACTGATCCAGTGGATCACCACCCTTCCTCATGCCCTGCAGCCCGGAGGGCTGGCTCCCCGGTGGGTGCGTTTCACCGTAGCTTTGCCGAGACTGCAGGAAATGTGGCTCCGGCCAAGGAGAGCCCAGCCCTGGGTGTCTAGGGGCTGGGAGCCGTGGGGATTGGTGGTGATTTTATAACCATGCCTGTGCCCTCTTCCTCTCCCTGCTCTGCTTTCTCTTTGTAGCCAAGCCCACCAACCGGATGGAGGGCACCACCCGGCCGCTCATAGCCCGCTCCGGCATGACAGAAAAGATCCTGGTCGCCACCTGCACGTCCTCCAATGGGAAGCCACCCAGCACCGTCACCTGGGACACCAAGCTCAAAGGGGAGGCAGAGTTCCAGGAGATCCGCAACGGCAACGGCACCGTCACGGTGATCAGCCGGTACCGCCTGCTGCCGAGCCGGGAGGCCCACCGGCAGCAGCTCATGTGCGTCGTCAATTACCAGCTGGACCGTTTCACCGACAGCATGACCCTCAACGTGCTGTGTAAGTGAAAGCGCGGTGGGGCCGGGCCGGCTGCCGGGGCCTGGTGTCCTGACTGATCATCCTCAGGGCTGGTGCAGGGAGGGGAGGCTCAGGGCCTTGTTGCAGGGGTGGAGACAAGTGGCGTGCCCTCCCTAGGGTAGAGGAGAATAGAGTATCTCTTGGAGTAACCACGTGCCGTCACCCGCCCATGCCTTCTCTCCCTTTCCACCTCTCCCTTCTCTTCTCTACTCCTCTCCAATGGGCTCTGTCCCCATCTCCCACCCTCCTCCATCCCTCTGTTCTCCGGTCCCACCCTCCCCATCTCTGCCTCCCTTCTCCCTTCCGTTCTCCATCTCTCGTTTTTTTCTGCCCCCCTTTCCTCACCGTCCCTCTCTCCCCTCACAGACGAGCCAGAAGTCACCATCGAGGGCTTTGATGGCAACTGGTTTTTGAACCGGAAGGACGTGAAACTGACGTGCAAATCTGACGCCAACCCGCCCGCTACCACCTACCAGTGGAGGCTGTAAGTACCCCCAAGGCATCTGGCCCTGCAGCAGCACACCCCACTCCACACCACAGCCAGGGAGCCCTCCTTGCAGAGCTAGAAGCTGGTCCGTGGACTGACTGGTCGCTGAGCTGCGGATAGGGATACAGGGCCTGGCTCTGCTCTCCCGGACCCGGCTGCGAAGCTGGAAATACCCCAGTGCCATCCGTGGAGTCGAACTGGGGTAACTCCTGTGCTCTTTAGAGGAGAAATGGGCCCTCAGGGTCACAAGAGACAAAAAGCATCTTCCCATGGGGAGCTCAGGGCGGCAGAGAGACACTGCCACTGCTTGGGGGTCCGAACGGGCAGGGTATAGAAACCCTGACTCTGCAGGGATTGGAATGAGCTTTCTATAGGGAACTGAGGTCTGCACCTACATGAGGAAGGTCCTTGGATGGTGTAATCCCTGCACCAGCTCAAGAGCTGGTCCCTAAATCCTGCCGCTCTCGGGACTACCCCATAACAACTCTGGAGCACGTTGGGACAGAGAGCAGCTGTCGAAGGCGGGGAGGTGTCTCACTGCCAGTTCAGGGGCTCTGGGGTCATTGCCATCTGGAAACCTGACCTCTTCAGTGCCCCACCCACCTCCCCTATGGAGCCTGGGCTCTCAGACCCAGCAAACCTGCTTCCTCTGCCAGCCGGGCCCACCGGTCAGCCGGAGGGGAGTGGCTGCAGATTGCACTGCGGGGAAGGCATGGGGGCATTCCAGGTGATTGGAGGCAGCAGGGTGGATGGACTGACGTGGCCTGTCAGCTGGGATGACAGGGATGGGTCTGGGTTTTAGTCTGTGCCCCAGCACATCTGCCTGGCTGGAGCCGAGGTAGTTAGGTCGGCTCCCAGGCCTGTGGGGGCTGGGGTGGGGGGGAAGTGGGAAAGGTCAGGGACCTCCTCATGGTCCTCCTCCCCTGGGAGAACATCCCCTCCCCGCTCTCTCTGGTGATTCCCCTGCCCGTGGCCTCCTCCGGTGCCCAGCACTTGCCAAGGAAAGAGTCCCTCGGGCCTGGCCATCGCCAATGGAGGGGATTGGGCAGCAGGAAAGGAGCTAGCAGCTCCCTCCCTCATCGCGCGGCCCCGGTTTGCCTTAACTGGGCAGCTTTGGAGGCCAAGCTGACAAGGACCGGAGGGCAGGGAGAGCTGGGCTTCTACAGCTGCTGAGCTGCGGCAGCAGGCATGGTTGCCAGATGGTTTCAGAAAAAAATACACCACAACAACAACAGAAACCACGCCAGGAAAGTTTGTTGAGAAAAAAAAAGGACCCCGAGAGTTGTGAAGCAAAAAAAAAAACCCCTTTAATAACCGCTTGCACAGGAGACGCGCAGAAAAGGCTGCTGCCCTGCTCCTGCTGCGCTCATGGTGACGGGGGGACTGACCCCCACCCAGCAAGCTGTGCATGGAGCTGCACCTGGCAGGTGAGTGTGCACCCCCAGCAAGTGCCAGCTGCAGGGGCGAGAAGAAGACTCCTGCCAGCCCCTTTCCGGTGCGGCCTGCCTTGGAGACAGACCATGGCCAGACTCTGGAGTCTAGGAGAAGAGATGCCCTTAGATGTCGAACCGGTGGTGAGACGCACATAACTCCATTGCTTCCCCTGACTCATGGAGGATTCTAGAGCCATTCTGGACCTCCCAGGGTAACCCAGCTGTTGCTCCATAACCCCTGGGTGCGAATGTACGACAATGGCCCTGGTACAGACCTTCGCATCTCCACGGAGCTGAAGAGACACCCAGTGCCCTCCCAACCCTCTCGTCAGGCAGAGAAGGGTTATTCTCCCTCTGTTACAGGTGGAGAAACTGAGGCACGAACCAGAACAATTTCTTGCCTGAGCTCACTGAGTCAGTAGCTGAGCCGGGAAAATAATCGAGGTGCGCGGGGGTTGCCTACAGGGATTAAGAAGTGCATGTTCTGTTGACTTTATTCGCCGCTCGAAGAGCTGGCCCTGGAAGCCTGCTGTAACCACTAGACAATGCTACCTACCTTTGGTGCACCACTCCCCACGTTCCGTTATTCAATGGAAGCTATTCAGCCTCCTCCAGGTTGTCAGCTTTTGGCTGACGACCCGAAAGGGAAGGAGAAGTGGGGGCTTAGATGAACATTGCCGGAAGCCAGAGTGGTGATTCTGTTTTACATTCCTGGAGCTTAAAACGCGATCAAACGGATTCTTTCCTCCTCGGCTGGTGCATGTTGCCAGGAAAGTGGTTCTCAAAATGGCTTTGCAGGGAGCCAGAGTTACTCTCTCTCCTGTCACTTCCCGCGTCAGGCTGCTTGGCTTACAAGCCTGAAGAGGATTCTTCTGTCACCGCTGCCAGTTCTTCCCCTGTAAATGCCATGCCGGCTCTTGGCTGCCTCCACCCCGGGCCGGGCAGAGAGGCGGGTTTCACGTGTGTTACAGGACACAGAGGCGGTTCCAGTCCCCCTTCCAGAGCAGCATTAGCTCTCAGTGGCTCACATTTTTTGGGCAGTAAGGCCAGCCGCTAGGGGTGGCCCTGTGGGACAAGGGCTGGACAAGAACACAGGCTTTGTCTGTGATTTTGGGCGTGTCACGACATCGCCCCGTGCCTCAGTTTCCCCTGTGTCAGATGGAGACAATAATACTCTGCTGGTCTATTTAAATTAGAAGCTCTTCCCTGTCCCTTACTATGTGTGCCCAGCACCTTGCGCAGTGGGGCCTCCCGCTGCTGCTGTGACACTGGAGAGAGGCAGACAGCCACCATACGAGGAAGGAACCATTTTTTCCCAGCCGAGTGAGATCTGCCAGCCCAGGCCAGGGGAGAGGAGCAGTTACAGCTTGCAGGGAATGCAGGGTTCCATACACCGCACCTGCTGTGTGTCCCTCTTCAGGGGCACACTGGGGCCATGTCGCGGACTGGCTGTCGCCAGCATCAGGGATCTTAACTCCCAGTGGGAGGCAGCACCGGGGAGAATTGCACCTGCTTACGCCAGGCCCGGACTGGCCCTCGCTGGCCAGGCACTCACTCACATTTTGAAAACGCTGCAAAGGGGAATGTTCTCCTCTAGCTCGTGTGTGTGTGTGTGTGTGTATGTGTGTGTGTGTGTGTATGTGTGTGTGTGTGTGTCTAGGGCCCCGGGTCCCAAGGGGATCCTGGCTCGTGACTAGGCCTTTGGGGACACAAGCTCATTGGCTGCGGGAGGAGCCAGGCAGAGACAGAACAGGCTACTGCCGCAATACGCCTTGGATTCTGCCCGCCCCACTGCCTTTCCAGAGGATGTGTTGGGTAGTGAAGACCGAGAGAGGGAACGCTGCAGGGGGAGGGAGGAAGGGAAGGGCCGGGAAAGAAAGAGGGAGGTGAGAGAGAGGAGAACAGAGGGGAGAAAGGTGGGAGGGGATGGGCGAGGGGCAAGCGCAGATCTTTGCTTTCTCTCTCTCTTCCCCCTCCCCCAGTTCCCACTCTGCAGGCTGGCGGCTCAGGCCTGCCCATGAGCCTGTCCCCCAGGGAGACACAGGCCAAAGGCTGGGTGTGGCGCTCACAGGCACAGGGAGCTGCATGGGCGCGGCGGGCGGGAGGGGGACAGGACCACAGCGTGAGCGGAGCAGCAGTGCCAGAGAGAAATTCACTCCTCTGGGTTGCCCTGTGGGGTTGATTAACGTAGAACCGATTCCCCTGCTCCCCCAGCAGAGCCCCCCCGGACAGGCGGAGAACTCGCTACCCAAGCCTTTCGTTAACCCGCGCTGGTTCCCTCACGCACGTGCTCCGTACGGGAATCCGCAAGGCCTGACCCTGCGGGGAGCCCGGTACCTCAGCAGGGCCCTTGCTGGTGCTTAACCTCAGCCCTTCCCCATTCAAGAAGCCACGCCTGGCCTTTCTTAGCAGGGCCGTCCCCCATAGGGCGAGTACTGCCTTCAGAAACCCCGTGGGACCATCATCCTAGCCCCTCCCACGCAGGGCACGGACAGTCGTCAGGGAGCTGCTCTCATACAGCTGGCCTCGGGGACGCGCTGGCTCTGGCCATTTCTGGGGCACTTAGCAAATCTGAATTACGTTCTCCAGTGGTCCCCTTGTAATTCACACCCCCTCTCTCAGCAGTAGGGACAGAAAAGCCCCCCCGCCCCGTAATGCTGCATGGAGTGACTTGAGAGCATGAGAACCCGCCTCAGGACAGACGACTAGACACAGGGCACAAACCCCCAAACTGGCTGTGCATTCTCAGATTTCACCAACTAATGGCCGAGTGTGAACTCCTCCGGCACTAACAGCCTGAACAGAGTCACAGACAGGCTCTTGGGGTACTCCGATCTACCTCGCCACCCAAGGGAGCTACCTGCCACCGTGAATCAGAGCAATATACAGGGTAGTCCCAATCCTGAAGGAACAGTCACTAACCCCGAAGTCAAGTGCACCTTAGATCCCATACTAAAGACAACGCTTGTAGTGACTCCTTTAATTAACTATCCAGCAGGAAAGGGGAGTTACATACAAGGTTAACGCAGGTGAACATACACATGCAAATGAGTTACGATCCGCAGTTTGAAAAGGTAAATAGAAGCTTTTATAATAAGCAAGCGCTTCATGCCTGGTAGGGATAACCCAGGCTATGCAGCTGGGGATCTTTTGCTTATGCCTACGCCCTTTCCCCTTCCCCAGAGTCTAAGCAGCACAGAGAGCCAGTACGTTGCTGCTAGGGATTTTTTTATTCCCTCCTGCCTTGTGTGCTGAGCAAACTGAGCATGGATGGGAGAATCCACTTGCATGGGGATGGGAAGGCAGAACAAACAATCTCCTGGCCCCTTTAGCATCACACATGGTCAGGCAGGATGTCTTGCCTTCTGTTGGCGTTCAGCACTTCCCACTGGTTAATGTCTCTCTCCTGTCTGGCGATTTATACAGTCGCTGAGGCTCACACTGCAACCGCTCTGATACTACCTGAGTACGTGTTGATAACACTAAGCCCTCTTGTAACAATAACAACACACAGGGACCAACACGGCTGCCGCTGTCAATTTGTCAGTGTTCCATTGAGACACGGGGTGTTGGCATGAGCTGGCACCTGATTTGCCAGCCTCCCAGGGCTGCTGGCAGAAATGGATCCTTATATAATCTTTGCCCCTGTGTTATAAACCCAGACTTGTTAGGTCTGAGCCCCAGAGTGGGCCACGGGGCCAGGTTGGAATTAGGCCATGTTGAATTTTGCCCGCCCTGGTTTTAACAGATGTGGGGAAACTGAGGCACAGAACTAGTAACATCTTGCCTGAAAAGCCAGCACTGGGGATCTGACTTTAAGAGCCAGGGCACAATCTCTCAGGTGCTGTAGCAGACTCTTGAGAATGCTAGGCTTGAAAAACTGGGAATGGGCAAAAAAACCAACCCAACCCACCCTGCTAAACAAGGACACCTGATCTGGGATTGGCTGCCTCCCCTATAAAGAGCGGCAAGAGGCAGATTCCCAGCAGACCCAACAGGAGCATAGCCATGGCAGTGAGTGGCAAGCCGGGATGTGGGGAGCAAGGTCCAGGCTGGCAATGCCTTGGAGTGAGCCGAGAAGGGGGTGAATGGATGGATTTGAGAGCTTTATTTTGGATGCTGCTCATTGAGCGCCCTTGCATTTGAGAAGGTCTGTGAATGGACGAAAGGAGGGAAGGAGTGACTAAAGAAGCCCCTTGCAGGAGGAAACTGAGGCAGGGGGTTGTTTGCGGGCTGGCTTGCATGGGGGGGGGGGAGGTGGCCCCCCAAGACAATACCTAGTCCTTTATGCAGAGTCTTCCTACTGCCGCCTCTGTCTGTCCACCCCTTGTCATGGGGATTGTGCCACAATAACTGTGGGAAAAGCCCCACTCCGACGGCCCAGGAGCTTTCCGCACTAGATCATTCAATAAGATGCTTCCCCTTTAAGAAGAGGGATCTACTGCACCAGGGACTTGCTATCTGGCTTCTGCTCCCCTCTCTCTGAGGCCCAGCTGGACAGCAGGAAATCAGGCACAGGTGCACTGGGTCTGGCCCTCTCTTAAAGGCCAGCCCCTGAAGCTCCATGTATGAAAGGTGGAGGTGTGGCAGGGCTATGTAAGTGCTGTATGCAGGCTAGCGCCTGGGGAAGCAGGATTAGGCCGGTGCTGGGAGGAACGGAAAACGCCAGCTTCTGGGGGAAGTTTTCCAGCGTCGGGATCCCCAGGCTGCCTGCTGGAAGCCGTGTTGGGCCTTTTAAGGCTGGGATTCTAGTGCAGTGGGCGTTGGGGGCACATCCCTGCCGAAATGCTAACAGCAGGCCTGCTCCTGCGAGGTGCAGTGTGCCCACAGATTCCAGTGACTGCTGGTCCCTGGCTCACCCGTTGGCACTGTACCAGCAGCAGCCCTGTGCTTTCCCCGCCTAAGCCCTCGGACTCACGCGGCACACAGTCCTTTCACTGGCCCTCTGCGAAGGGACGAATTTCACCCTTTATGACTCATGCATTTTCTTTATTAATGGTATTCATGGGTCGTCCCTTGCTGTCTATCTACTGTTATTTTAATCCAAGATGACCGGTCTAGAGATACATTTGTTTTATGCTATGATTAACTAATGCAACCGAGGCACCACTTAATTCCCCTTCTTTGCTAAGAATTACTTACAGTTAATGCATTTTTGTAGGGTGGGGGGAAATTACTCAGTAACTTGTAATTGCTTAATAAAAGCAATTGCTTTACTTCGGAGCAGTAATTAAGAATGACTGGGACGCGTAGTTCTTCCCTTGGCGTATGGATTTGGGGGGCGGAGGGGTTGTTTGTTTCATGGCTTTCCGAACGCTCGGGCCTGGCTCAGTGCTCCTGTTCCAGCGTTACATCAGCGGGGGAAATCCTTAGCTGGCGTATGTCGGCAGAGCGCCACGGAAGCCATGTGTCTGCGCTGCTTGTCAGCAGCTGACGCTCTGCCTGGTGGAGTTACACTGGCATGAAATGGGAATGCTGCAGTAGCGAGACGGTATCTTTGGCTACGTCTACATGACCCCTTACAGGGTTGTAGCTTTTTGGCTTAGCGGTGTGAAAAAGTAGCCCCCCACCCCTAGTGCAGCAAGTGACTGTGCCGTAAAACACCAGTGTAAACAGGCTCCTGGTGCGGCTGGCTACTCCCGCGGGGAGGGGGTTTGCACAGAGCGCTGGGAGAGCTCTTTCCCGGCGTTCTTGCTGTGGCCACGCTTCCAGCATAAACTGTTGCCGTGGGCACATTACGAGTAGGCAAGGCCCGTGTGTTTGCTGGCTGCGCTGAGGGGTGAGCATGGGAGAGGCGAGAGAGTTGAAGGCCTACGTGAGATGAAATAAAATAACCGGGCACTGCTAAATCTACACCCATTTCCCAGAACCACACTGGAAATGGATCCGTGTCTAAGGCTCTGTTGTCATCTGTTGGTTTTTCCCACCCTGATTCTGTTTTTTCCCACATTCCCCTTAAAAATGTGCAGAGCCAAGAGGTTTGTCTGTGACCGCTCAGCAGCCAGGGGTCAGATCCAGGAATGACATACATGGGGCAGGGCCGGGGAGGAAGTTCAACCAAAGGGCCCGATTCTGATCCCTCGATGGTTTTACCCAGGGGTAACTCCACTGACCTCGGTGGAGGCACTTCTGGCTGATGCCAATCTGATCCAAAGCCCATTGAAATCAATGGGAGCGCTCCAGCTTGGGATGGAGCCTGAGGTGAGGTGGGAATCCCCAGAGAGAGCGGGACAGAGGACGGGTGTTAGTCACAGAGGAGCGGGACTCACACCAGTTTGCTGCGTTTGCCGATGAAGGGAGATGCACCCAGCGGTGCTGGAGAGGAATTGGTGAAACAAGGACCAGTGCACCCTTAGGAGCCAACCCCCTTCCTGCTCCCACCAGCAGCTCAGTTGGCATCACCAGAGCGGGATAGGTGTGAATCAGTATAGTGGGGCGTTGCCCTTTGCCGCGACCACGGGACCCCAAGAGAGCCATCTCCAGGAACCAACCCCCAGTGCTCTCCCCCTGCAGGCTGAACGGCTCGCTGCCCGAGAGCGTCGAAGTCCAGAACAACACCCTCTTCTTCAAAGGGCCCGTCTCCTACAGCCTGGCGGGGACGTACATCTGTGAGGCCACCAACACCATCGGCACCCGCTAGGTAGGAAATCCAGCCTAATCTGGGAGGGGGCAGATGCGGGAAGGGGGAGAGGGGGGCTTATGCTGCTGGTGAACAACCAGTCCCAGTCTCCTGTGTCAATTCTCCTTCCAAAGCTGGTTTCTCTCGCGCTCTCTCGGGATAACCGGCAAAGCGAACAGGATCTCTGCCTTGCCCTGGGCTCATGGGGGTTGTTTTTCCGAGTGACTTGGGCTTGGTTTTCATTTCATGTTTTCTTGGTCTCGCTTCCTTTTATTCACCGAGGCGCTTTGGAGTCTCACCTCCCTTTGTTTTCCTTTCGGCTTCTGGTTCAAAGCGAGCGGTGCAGCTGTGATGTGGGGCCAGGAGTGTCAAAGAGCAGCTTGCTGAGGGTGGGAAAGGGGAGCGGCTCTCAACAAGGCAGTGGCCGGATGTCTTTCCCGGGCTTGTCAGTTTGACGCGACTGAGTGATTTTTCCAGTTGTGCTCCTCCTGTGCCTGTGCTGCTCTGTACTGCCCCTCACCCGGCCATCGCGCACGAGGTGGAGGAGGCGGGCTGGACGGAGCTGGGCTTTCTCTAGGCACCAGGAGGAAGTGACCTCAGAGGGCCAGGAGTTAAGGAGGGTGATGTCATATTGTGCCATATGAGCACCGGAGAGAGGACAGGATGTCTTGAGAAATCAGGTGAGGTAGTAGAGTGTGGCGGCACTGGGTTAGCATCGAGAGGAAGTGACATCGGCAGGTGTCACGATCATTTCAAAGGCAGGAAATGACATCATACGGTGGTAGGTTAACGAGGGAGGAGACACGACATCAGAAGTGGTGGGCTGACCGTCAGAGAGAAGTAACCTCCGGCAGGGACAGGTGAACGGCAAAGAAAGGAAGTGTCCTTGTACTGCACAGAGCTTCCGGCTCATGGTAGGGGCAGCCTTTGCTTGCTCTTGCGTCTGAGTGGAGATATCCAGGAGTGGCTGGCTGACCATGCGGCCCGGAAAGCCTGGGGCCCGGTGCAGCTGATGGTCGGGTAGTGCTGGTGACGTGTGAGCCATCTCAGGTCAGCTCCGTCCAGGGTGGTTCTAAAAAGACAAATGGCCCCGTGTTGTATCCAACAATCGGTGAGGAAGTCATGTGACACCTGGCGCCTTGCTGAGCTACTAGGAAGAGACGCGTGGTCTGAACATCTCAATGGGCAGAGCTCGGCCGTGCTAGACTATGACCCCAGATGCCCAGCGCTCTAAGCCCTGGGCTTAACGGGGCACTGGTGCTGCCTCCATGTGCTGCTGTATGGTCTCCGTGCTGGTGCCAGCTTGCCTGGTGCCCATCTCCCCTGGGGAATTTCCAGGCAGTGTAAAACCCACCTGATGGGCAGCTGCTAACTGGCCAGGCAGAATGAAGCCGAGGACTGAGGTGCAACTTCTCTGGTTGTCCCATGGCAGGGGGCATCGGGGATTTTGTCCAGTCTCTCAGGCACCCAGGGTTCCCTGGCGGATGGGCGGGCATGAGACAAGCTCTCAGGCCAAGGCAGCTGCTGTCAGGTAGGGCGAGGAACCGTTCTGACCTGCCACCCAAGTGCTGCCATGCTGTTTGTTCTGAGGTATATGGGCACGGGAAGGTGAGGACAATATGGAAAGCAAGAATGGGACCTCCTGCACTTGCGAGGGGCTGTGGGTCGGCACTGGTTTCTGGCCCCCCCCCGCCCAGGCCCAAAGCCAGCCACTCTTTTCACATCCCTCATTCACCGGAGTGGAGTCCGATGTGAGACATCCCAGGCCTGATTCCGAGAGGTGCAGAGCACCCTGGGTTCCCATGGATGGTCATTGCAGCTTGCAGGTCCGGTGAGAATTGGGCACAGGGTGCCTCAAACTGAAATCAGCAATAATGTTGGTTCGGGGTTCCCCCGCCTCAGTTTCCCTCCCCTCGCGCCTGGGGGCTTGCAAAGCGTGGGGAGGACGGTGGATGAACCACAACTGAGATGCTAAGTGTCGTTCGTTTGCTGCTGCTGGGGTGAACCTGCAATACAAACCGTCTCCCTTGCGTCCTTGTCGATCGAGCCAGGCCTGGTTTCCATTTCCCTTCCTAGGGCACTTTGGGGTGGCAGCCTGAGAGACTGAGAAGCTCTGCCTACAGACCAGATGCAGTCTGAGCAGTGGGGGCGGAGGGCGGGGAGGGGTGAGCAGCCCTGACACAGCACTGAGCAGGGATCGTGGGGAGGGTCCGGAGAGACGAGCAGCTCTGAGATCCAGTCAGCCTGTTTGCACAAGGGGGCAGATCAATACCAGCCATTGTGCTCCTTTGGCAACACGGGCACAGGAAACTGGGTGTGCACTTGTGCGTGCACAAACACACGTGTGCGTGCACAAACTCACATTTCACACAGGCCTGAAGAGCCGTCCGATGGCAGCGAGCAGCGATGTGGGCTTGACCTGAGGTGAAACGCTCCCTGTCCCATTCTCAGTCCCCCAGGTCAGGAGAGTCGATCCTACACACAAGAGAGGCCTGGGGGAGACCGGGTGTCTTCGCGGAGTATTACGCTCCAGTCTCAGACCTCCCTCTCCCAGCCTTTACTGTATTACAGTCAAAATAGGCCCCAGGATGTCTGCTGCTGTAAGGCTTCCTGTTAGCAAGACACTATTTCTGCTCGCACGTTGGCTGTGCATAAGTGCATATGTAACTGCCACTAGGTGGATTTGAACCTGGAACCTCTGGAGCTTAATACAGGAGCCGCCAACTTTTGCACTAAAAGCCAGCTGCCTCGCAGCCCATGCTGTAGAGGTCTCTTGATCTTATCTGTTGCTGTGGTCTTGATGCTACTGCATGGGACAGTGAACCACACTAGGGCTACGTCTACACTGGCATGATTTTCCGCAAATGCTTTTAACGGAAAAGTTTTCCATTAAAAGCGTTTGTGGAAAAGAGCGTCTAGATTGGCACGGACGCTTCTCCGCAAAAGCACTTTTTGCGGAAAAGCGTCGGTGCCAATCTAGACGCGGTTTTGTGCAAGAAAGCCCCGATCGCCATTTTTGCGATCGGGGCTTTTTTGCACAAAACAATACCGCGCTGTCTACACTGGCCCTTTTGCTTAAAAGGACTTTTGCCCGAACGGGAGCAGCATAGTATTTGCGCAAGAAGCACTGATTTCTTACATGAGACCGTCCATGTTCTTGCAGAAATTCAAGTGGCCAGTGTAGACAGCTGGCAAGTTTTTCCACAGCCTAGGTGTGTGGGTTACACATAACCACGTCCGGCAACACATGCAGGCCTGCCGACCCTGCAAAGAGTTTCTCACCACCCGTCAGCATCATGATGGGGCAGCCTCTTCATAAAACCACTAGCAATAGCGAAGTCTCGAGTGGGTGCCCTGGACTCTCCAGCACAGTCCCTCTTTCAGAGCAGACCAGGGCTGGGGGAGGACGGGAGTTTTTTTACATTTGAGGAATTTCCTCTGTCTTGTTGGCTGGGGTTGGTGGATGGAGACGTTCGGGGTTGTGAGTGTCACTCTCCTAGTGGAAAGGTCTCGCATGGGAGGGAAGGAGGAAGGGAGGACCACAAACCCTCTGGGAGAGACGGCAAAAGGCTTGCATGGGATTTAGGGGCTTGTTCACATTGACTTCCAGTGGAAGGTGGGTGCCTAAGGGCCCTTTCTGCCTTGGCGGATGCAGCGAGCCGTCAGAGGGAATGGAGACCTGAGCATGGGAGGGAGATAAGGGGGCACCGAGGGCGGGGGAAGCAGAAATGGCAGTAGCAGGCAGAGCTTTTGGGACTTGCAGGTGGATGGGGCTGTGGGGCCCGTGAGCACTGAGGGCAGGGAGAAGCTGTGGTTAAAATCAGGCTTCAGACAGTGCTGGGATGGGGCATCAGAACAAGGGCTGGGGAACGAGGGCTGGGTGTGAGATGCGTCAATCAGGAGTCACGCCCATTTTCAGTGGAGTGACTCCGGGTTCACACCTCCATGACTGAGATCGGAATCTGGGCCCGGAGGTGCCGATCTGATCAGCTGCAGTGGAGGGGGAGGGTACTGGGGGGGGAAGCATGCGTGGGAGGAGGCTGTGTCCAAGCAGCTTAGCAGCTGACTCGTTAGGCCAGGGATACACCAAGTAATACCCTTTTAATAATTCATGGGCTCTGAATATGTTTATCCAGCTCTCCCCAAGGGCTGATTAGGCCAGCACTGGAGAGGACTCAGCCAGCCTCACTCGGCTATTACAGGTACATTTGTTTGGGGCTTGCAGGCAATTTAGGGATTGTCAGTGGACCACGAAGCCTCTTTCAAGAGCCGTGCGCAATAAATGCAGCTCAGCTGAGTGAGCAGCTAGCCTTGGGTAAAACAGAGACAAACCCACTGCAGAGCCAGACCCTTCCCCCCCCTCTCCTCCTGTCCCCCTCTGCTACCATCTTGGCAGCCTGCTATTAGCCAACTCCAGATGTGAACAAGGAGGGGAATTGCCCGGCTAGCTTGGCCTCCCTTCTGAGCGAACCGGTGATTTGTTCCGGGGAAAGGCTGAAAGCTGCTATTAGAGTTATAGCACATTAAAAAGATTGATAAGTGGAAATTTAATATTTTATTCCTGCAATCTGTTCACGTAATAGCTTCTCCTGCCTTGCAGGACGCTTGTCGGTTGAGGCAAAGCCATGTAGTGAGGCATGTAACTATTTATTACAGCTGGTTGTGGGAAATAATAAGGGACTCTTATTATAGACTCACTGTGTCTGCACGTGTGTCCTTGTGTGTCTGAGTGTGCCCTGCAGGGCTCCCGCGTGCATGCACGTGCAGGCTTCCGTCCATGCACATGCTCACATGCACCAGGGCTCAAAGGCATGTTTGTGCACCATCAGGCACATGCAGATTTGGGCCCAATTGCACATGCGTGAGCGGTTGTGCACACATCTCTCTGTCGGTTGTACCTTCAGACACAGCCATGCACGCACCTCCGTGCACAATTACACAGCCGTGTACAGCACAGGTGGACAAATACCAGCCCACAGGATGGATCCAGTTCCCCAGGGTTACCCTGGACAGACTGGCTC